TTCATTGATTTTCCCCTTGTTATAATGATTGTATAAAATTTGCTTTATAAAATTTGCTATTTTTTAACTCTTAAAACCAAACCATAAATTTGTGCAAATTCGTTTTGTTGAAATACATATCAGTCGCACTTTCTATACAGACCTGCGCATGTTTATTTGAGCAAGAACAACATCTGTTTTTTGATCTGCAAGATTATAAGGCAGATTCAAAATTTTCAGAAACATTTTGTGAAGGGTACATTTAAAAATGAAATTTTAACAATGCTATTTAACAACGCTTGTCAATCACAATGTCAATTTGCAATTTCAAATCATTTGATTCTGAACAAAATAGTATAAATAATGAAATAAATCTGTTTTTTGTATTTGACAATTTATTTCTATTTTTTTTTAAATATTTGTTAGATTAATTGTAATAATTTTTTTTATCTATCTGTTCACATAACGATTTTTAACATGTTTTTGTTTTAATATTCTAAAATAAATAATATTTAGCACTACACTGTATTGAGCTCTCTTTGAAATTAACTTTTACGGACAGTGGCATTATACTCCATTTGTTCTCATTTTACCTGTATATATATATATATATATATATATATATATATATATATGTGTATATGTTTATATATATATGTATGTATATGTGTGTGTGTGTGTCTGTGTATAATTTTTTGTGTATAATTTTTAATACATATATACATATAAAAATATACATATATATGTATATATATGTATACGTATATATATTATTCAAAATTTATTATATTTATGTGGGAAGAACGTTCATTATCAGAGATAGAGTATTTGTTGATATTAAATGTTTGGACATAGGAATCAACACTGCGTGGTGAATATCATTATGACGCCTCAAGCAAACTTTAGAGCAATTTATATAATTATTTATATACATGTATGTATGCGTGTATTTATATACATGTATGTATGTGTGTGTACGTGTGTGTGTGTATGTGTGTTTCCCATGCTGACGCTGGCTTACAAAAAACTATAACAGAAAGACCATTGTCAAGGAATTTCCATTTACTGATGATGCAACCCTAGTTACTCACACAGTCATCTTTAAAGCAGATAATATCAAAGTTTGCCCCGGCTCAAGAATTTTTATGCCATGAAATTAAACGAAGACTGTGACGGCTGTGATCATCTATCAGCTTTGCACGTCCCAGTATAGATGACACCATGCATGTCGCCATTAACAGCTGGTCAGACAAAATCCTAAGCCTCAAAAAATCTCAAATTGGTTTGATGATAGGTATATTTTTTTACAAAGTTATCTATTCTTGATTGAACTGTCTTGATAAAGGATAAAGGTCTGTAGCTGTCTTGCTATTTATCCATAATGGGAAGGAGACGTGAATCCATGCCTTTCTCAAGGGTATTATGCGGTGCAGGAAATAAAAGCAATGTCGACCGAAGCTCAAATTGGTCTGCCAAATAACCATTACACATCTTTGCGTGCACTTTAGAGAATATAAAAGTGTGAACACTTTTATACTGATTAGCCTCCTCTGCAGAGTTCAGGGCATTTCACGTGTTCGGATTCTAAATCAGAGAAAGAGATAAGCAACAGGCCAAAAAGAAAACATTTTGGTTGTCTGGAGAAATATAAGATTTAAAAAATGCACAAACATAAACATCTACAAAAAATTCACGGTTTTTCTATTTTAATATTCTGATAAATCTTAATTCTTAAGTTAATGATTGAATAAACTCATGGCAAGTTTTACGACAATAAAATATCCGTAGACATTCCCCTATCGCATCGTTAAATATTTAATCTTAACAACCTTTAACAAAATATTGCAATAACAATCATAAATATGAATGTTGGTCGTTATTTTTAAGAAGTAAGTGGGTACAAATGAAAAGATTTGAAATTGACAACTTTTTCTATTTTACTGAAACAAACGTTAAACACTTCTATCTTCTTTTCTTTCTTTCTTTCTTTCTTTCATTTTCTCATTGAAACTAAGTGACTCTTCACCTCTTTCTACCCAATCAAAATAGAATAGTTCATTATTTATGAGGTATTAGCTGGGCGTAACAGTCGTGTGAACTAACAAAGGGGGACAAGCACAATTATAATGGGATAATAATAATAATAATAATAATAATAATAATAATAATAATAATAATGAAGAGCTTTTTCATATAGAGTGTTGGGATAAAAGCTATAAGATGCAATAAAACTTAGTGAAATAAAAATAATAATCTGATATAAGGTTCCTCAAAGCATGTGTCATCATCTGCTCGCAGTCATTAGAAACAAATTAAAAGTACTGAACAGTTATGTAATATCAGTCCTCCTATATGGCAGTGAATGCTCGAAAATCACCTTACAGATAGAGAAGAGACTTGAAGCAAGAGAAACAAAGAAAAGAGTACTGAACTTTTATGTAATATCAGTCCTCCTATATGGCAGTGAATGTTGGACAATCTCCTCACAGACGAAGTTTTAGAGAAAATGAAAACAAAAAGGAAACTCATATTTAACATCAGGAAGCGACACTTGAAATTTCTAGGGCACGTAATGAGGATAGAGGGATTGGAAAATCTGATACTCACAGGAAAGATTGAAGGTAAGAGAAGCAGAAGAAAACAACGAATAACCTATTAGTGAGTAAAATATAAGTTGTACCTTCACTTTAAAGACATTTTGATCGCTTCCACTTTTAAATTTTCATTTTCTCAAGCGTCAACAGAAGCCTAAAGAAAGAAGAAAAAACATTTATAAAGTGTTGAATTACGTACATCGAAAAAAAATCATTTTTTGGAGAAAAATATTAATTTCAGCTGAACCGAATCTTTACCCCTTGTTGCGAGTGAAGGGTGGCGAGAAAATTGGTCCAATCAAAAGGGGGTCGCGAGTGAAATGTATTGGAAAAACTCTTATGTATCAACAGTTTTCGTTTTGCAGACTGTTTCGCAGGCAGTTCACTTTAAACAATGTGCCGCGTGGAGATTTGCTTAAGTTGGTGCTGTCCAATAAAATGTCGTCATGTTATTTTGCGGGGCTAATGTTGTGACTGAGAGAGAACAGATGATTCAAGTGCGCGCATGCGTGTGTGTAAGTTGTGTAGCTTTTTTTTTCTGAATGGAATGTGATTACTGGTCTCGAGGTACACATGTGCGTCTGGCACGCCATTCGTTTACTATGTGCGTAACTTTTCTCCTGCCGCGCCATTTGATTTAATCCCATACGGGAACTATCTTCGACCCACCCTCTCATCTGACTATGTGCTGGTATGTGTGTAGGCGGATGGTGGCTTTGGTCCCTGTCAAGGCCTTTTTATGTTACTGTTGCTGGCTGTATCCGAAGTAGGTAGTAGTGGTAATGTACTACAGTTGATTACTTTTTTTATTATCAATCATTGTGACATACCAGTGACGATACAATTATAAAAATCTATTTGGTATTATAATTAAACAGTGCAGAAAAATGAGGTTTTATTTTTATTCATCAGAGGAAGACTAACTTTTAACAAGATTATGTTTCATTTTTTACTTTTTTTAATCACAACGCCCAGGTCGTTTTTACATTCTACAATAAAATATAGCGAATCGGAAAATAAAACTTCTAGTCACAACGGAAGCTTGTAAAAAATAAGCTATATTTTCTCATTTATGCTATCTGTTTTTTTTTTTTTTTTTTTTTGTTTTTTTTGTTGTTCAACAGTCGTTCGTAGAATATTTAAAAATGGCTTGAGAGTTGTGATAACATGAAATGAAATTCAAAGATAATCAAAATGAATAATGAACAAACACCACTTCGATTCGAACTTGGTTTGCCGATTAATTTTATTAACCGTTGTAAGCTACCCTGCACATTCGTAGGCGGATGTAGTAAATCGAGTAAGAGATAGAGAGAAAAAAAATGAATAAAGGCGTGGCTGAACCTCCATATAAGGAAAGGCACACACATCTCACAAACACACCCACCTCATCGCTACAAACGTTACCCTCTCGAGCACTGTTGTGCGTATTTTTGCTTAAATTCAGTTACATTCATGTTTCTATGTGAAATTTCATAAGATCGTCTCCTCTCTTTTTCTCCTCTGTTTCTCTCCCTCTTTCTTGTAACTCTCGCCACTTACTAGCCTGTATTTCATTGGTACGTGATGTAAATAATCCGTGTGTATGTGTGTGTGTGTGTGTGTGTGTGTGTGTGCACGTGTGGGTATGCGTGTGTGTATGTAAAAGAAAAAAAAAGGAAAAAAAAAACAGGATGCTTTCTTTACATGCTAAAATATAAAGGACCTCTCAATTCAAACATTCTACATTATATGATCTGGCAGAGTTGGCCTAAACATCACACGAACGAAGGGATTGCATCGTCATTATCACTCAATCTTAGGAACCAACGCAACTGAATCATTATCACACAGGTTAACTTGGATTCACTGACGATATATTTAACGAAAAAAAAAAAGACGTAATTATTTATTAGTATTCGTTAAAACTATTACAAAACTTTTTACACAAACTATCGTTGCTGTTCCCTTAACCTTTGATAAAGAAAGAAATCTTTAATTGGACTTCACTGAAACCGGTGCAAATATACGTGCAAATAAAAAAAAAAGAGTTATTTATAATACTTACTAAAGTAAACATTTTTTAACAACCTGTCGGGGTGGGGTACAGTTCATGACAGTCTTTATTATGTGAATTTACAACTTACGTATATCTGAGAAAAGTGACAGATTAAAAAAAAAACAAAAAAAAACAACTTGTTTGGACGAAGTTCTCCTACTACTAACTCCATTTGACGAGAGTGGATTTCTACGAAAGACAAAACGTGTAGAACGTAATTTAGAAGCTGATTATTACAGGCTGGTATTATTTTGTTCTTCGCGAAGTTTAACACGAATTTCCGAGAAAAATATTTTAGAAAACTGAAAAGAAAAAGGAGAAAATTCAAGATCACTTAATCTAAATTCTACATTCACAATATTAAGAAACTTGAAAAAATCAAACAGAAAATGACAAACATCGAAGTTTTCCTTCTTCTGGTGAGTTACATGCAATTCTTTATCTTGTATTTTGTTTTCTTTTTCTTCCAGATGTTCTTCTGACAAACATGTGATTCGAATGAACTCTGCAAAATGGATTTTTTTTCAGCTTTCTTCCATTCTTTTTCTGTTTGGTTGTAACTTATTAAATATTTACTAAGTTTCGTCTAGTTTGGCACAAGATCACTAGTAACGACCTACGAGATAAGAACGGTAACCATCACTATACACTTCATAATGATATATACCCAGTCTGGCACAAGACTCAAATTGTAGAGCACTTAGTCAATTTACTATGGAAAAAATGACTTACAAAATTTGTTTAACATTAATTCATGGTCAAGTGGCATAAAGATATTCTTTCTAATTTAGCCTGGCAAAAGGCTAAAAGCGAAGGGGTACGTAAGAATCTTTCTTTCCTTCTCTCTCTTGCTTCCCAGTATGAAGTAATTGTAAAGTTTTGTTTTGATCTCGAGAAGTTGTGAAATACCTACCTTCCACGAGTTAAAATAATGACATATATATTTTTACATATTTATTTCTACTATTGTAGTTGTGGATGATCGACAGAATGTAAACAATATCTTATCTGAGTTAAATGTGTGTGTGTATGTATATGTGTGTGTGCGTGTGTGCGTGCGCGCTATTTCTTTTACTTTGTACGTATAGATCTATATATCTACCGGTTACTATAGTAATAAGGACAGTGATCACATTATCAATCTGCCTCAGTTAGTTCGTCTCCATCTAGATAATGAATATAATAAAATTTTCTTTCCAGATTTCTTTTAGCAACTTCTTTCTATCCCTTCCTCCACACACACACACACACACACACACACACACACACACACACACACACACACAAAATATATATGAAAGCCGTCGATAACTGTGCTAGCACGAAGTCACAAGTCATCGTGACCGAGGGTTTGAGTGTGCCGGCCTTGTTCAGATTGTTGATCACGCTAGATAACACGCTCTCTTCCAGAAACTGTAACTAAGGTCTACTCAACATAGTTGCACTATAAATCACAGGTTGGCTCTGTGGGTGTTGAATAAACATAAATGTGCCTGAGCGAGCGTCTGCAATAGGGATTGGCTAACCGCTCTCGTAGGCCGGTAGACAGCTATTATTATTATTATTATTATTATTATTATTATTATTATATCTGTGTGTGTATGTGTGTGTGTATGTACATTGCTTTACCCGTGCTGTCTAAAGATGATGGAAATGAGTAAGTTTTCAATATTTTCTAAATGCAATCACAAAATTACTTTACATTTATAATACTTTATTTGCCAAGTTTAAAATAGCTGAAAATTCGCCCAGTTCTATGTAGTGGACTACAGCTGGAAACTTCAAAGTTTGCACAAAAGAATACATATATGGATGTACATTGAGATTTATATATATATGTGGGAGGGGAATGCCCGGTGATTTTCCTCACATGGCAAATATGAGATACGAAATGCAAAATAAATAAGAAGTTTATTGACAGTGTGGCCTAAAACCTCACCGGAGGTTGCATCATCACTGTATTAATCACAGCTTAATCATTGTTTTAAGTTAAAAAAGCTATTGCGAATATTTTTATATAGTAGCTATTTTTCAAAATTACTAATTACATTCATCATTGTACAATCTTGCAAACTGTCACTGCTAACAAACAACGGTGCCTATTTACAAAGCATAGCACAAAGTTACAAGGAAGGGGCACCTCGTAAAGATCTAAATCAGAAGCAACTGTTAACCAATACAGCCACCCTAACCCTAACTCTGCACCAAACTAGTAAAAAAAAAAAAAAAAAATGAAAACTTTAAATTGACTTCACTCGGAAACCAGAAGAAATGTTCCCCGCGCACCTCAAAAAATAAAATGTTACGTATAACTTGAATTTATCATTTGTGTCGATCTGAAAAAAAACAAAAAACAAAACAAAAAAAAAAAAAAATAATAACTTAATTATTTAAATATAGGAAACTAATGAGACTTTTTAGTCGGAAATCCGTCGTAGTTTCTGTTACTAGTCTAAAAACAAACAGTGGGTCGTGTTAAAAACAAATCATTTTATTGATATATTTATTTACGCTAGTATTTGCTGTAAGCATATTGATAAAATCCTCAGCATACTGGCATAATAATAATAATAATAATAATAATAATAATAATAAGAAAGAAGAAGAAGAAGAAGAAGAACGAATTAAATGAGGCATCGCTTTTTAAACTTGTTTTCTTCGGGTAAGAGGTTTTCTCTTGTACCCGTTTGCTAGTCACTATTCTAAGGTAGATGTGGAGTCTCTTGGAAATTATTGTTATTATTATTATTATTATTATTATTATTATTATTATCTCCAAGAGACTCCACATCTACCTTAGATAGTGACTAGCAAGCGGATACAAGAGAAAGCCTTGCATCATTTAATTCGTTCGTTCGTTCGTTCTTCTTCTTCTTCTTCTTCTTCTTCTTCTTCTTCTTATCATTATTATTATTATTATTATTATTATTATTATTATTATTATTATTATTATTATTATTATTATTATTCCCTCTCCGGATGTTCACTGCTGTCCCTTACATTAGAAATATAGTGTCAACAGTTTTTATTGCTTTCCATTGTATTTTAATGACATACTCCTTTTTTATTTTTTAATGACATGTCCCTTCAAGTCTTAGGCGATCATGGCTCTCCACAGACTCCTTCTCTTTATTTTCGGTAAATTGCCATACCCTCTCGGAAATGTCTAGTCGAGCGGTTTCCCATTGCATTCTCCACGGTTCATACTTCAGATTTTTTTTTTTCCTTTTCTTATATTGGTTGCTACACAAAGCTAAAGAGACCAGTATTTTTAAAGTCTTTTTCTTTTCTTTTCTCTGTGATTTCACGAAAATTCATTAAAAAAGATTAAAAATACAGAAATAAAAATTTAATTTCTTCTGTTCACTGCACATCAACACATTCACTAATATATAAAAAAACACGCTTTGTTTCTCTTTCTCTCTCTGTTTTCCCTCTTTTATTCACTATCTTTCATTGTCACTCTCTCTTTTTCTCTCTCTCCCTCTTTCTCTTTTCTCTTTGCCTTTCTCTCCCTTTCTCTTTCTGTCGCCCTCTCTCTCCTTTTCTCTCTCTCCCCTTTTCTCACTGTCTACCTTTCTCGCTATTTCAGCCTTTCTCTTTCTCTCTCCCTTTCTCTTTCTCTCCCTTTCTCTCTCTCTCTCTCTGAAAACTGTTTTCATAGAATTGCCTCTGTGCTCTGCACGTTTACTAACCACGAGAATCAAACGGAGATAAGATTTTTTTTCAAACTGACATGGTCACCCAGTTGGTTGGAGTGACACAAATTTTTACGCAATTGCTTTGAAGAAACTGGAATCTGTACGTAGGTTAAATCACGATAAAAATAGCTTTTCTTTATCTCTGAAAGGCTTACACAAAAATACGCTTGTCTAAAAATAAAACGCTCTGATAAGTAAACAAACTTTTCAATGAGGTCAGTCTTAAAGGGTTTTACTTCTAGAATGCGACCACAAAATACTCTGCGATTTCGTCATCTAGACCGACAACCCGTCCAATCAAGAAGGCTTGAACGGATAATTGTGAATTGTAGGAAAGAAATAAAAATCTGTCAGCTAGTCAAAGCGACTGTTTGTTGACTACGGAGTTAGCATGAAGAATGAGAAATTAAAAAAAAAATACCGCGATCTTGTCCGGAATTTGAAAGAAAGATATAAAGAGTTGAAATATATGAAGGGTAAAATTCTATCTATAATAATGGATATATTTGAAACCATACTTTAACCATTAGAATTAAGATTGAATTAAATTTTAGTCCGATGAAAGGTTAAGATTTTATAGCCCACGGCATTTCTGGAATAGGTCACGGTACTGAAAATGGTTCTGAAGATTTGAGTAATATGGTTGGCACTCAATCTTCTTGTAAATACATGGAATTATAATTATTATAAGAAAAAGAATAGTTTACGAATTTCTGTGATAAAGAATTATTAATGTTTAACTTCTTTTTCTTTCATATTATTTCTCTTGTTCCTTGTGTCTTCAAGTATGGTAACTTTCATCAGTAAATCAGTAAATAGCTATGTATAAAAAGTATGACTTTGATCTTGTGAGGATGTGGATCCATTGAAAACAGCAAATGACGAAGATTCATCCATTCAAATCAGGGCTATAAGCCCAAACCAGAATTTGTCTAAAATCATCTGGGATGTTAAACGGATCTACCAATCCAAGACAGAAGACAGAATCTAGTAAAAGAGAAAAATGTTTTAGACATTTCTTTGCTTCAGATAATGGTTGTCTCTGTTACAAAAGATCACAAAATGAGACAGAAAGGCAGCGAAACCTGGATATGTACCTGGACCTCGTAAACGAACTGCAAAACATTTGGAATATTAAAATTACAGCCATATCGTGGCTTGGAAAGCTCCTTAAATGATATTTATAATATACAAAAGCTAAAATATTGGAAGAACTAGAGAATTTTGGAAGAATTGAATGCATCCAGACTGGAAAAGCCTGGAATAATGAGTCAAGTGCTGTACGTTTCTGTTACATGAGATCATTATTTATATGATAATCGTAGAAGCAATCTATAAATAGACATGAGTAGGAACTGACAATTGTGCAATAGTACAAGCTAGAATCGCTGTAAGGGAATAAGAAAGTAAATTCTCTGAACCTTTGAAATTTAAGCGAATCATTCAAAACCAGAAAATCAGATAAAGTGAACATAGAGTAAAAGAATATTTATTTGTCAGATAGAGAAAATCTGAAAGTCAATGAAAAGCCAGAATAAAAGTCTAAGTTGCTAAAATAAAAATAAGAAAAATATACAGAAGATGAACGCAAAGTTTTACTCCCCATTTACGGCATGCTTGAAACACTGTCGAAGAGACGATTAATAGAAATGGCACAGTGGATGAAGGCGTTGGTTAGATCCAGTAACAGGACCCAAAGAGTGTGAGTTCAATACCCGGTTAAGGAAGTGGAGAACCTGGAGAGGGGAATTAACAGGAGATAACTGATAACTGACATCCATTAAACATGGCACGTGGAACTAGAACAGTCTACCCCAGTGAGCGAAATAAAGGGTTTAGTTCGACATTCCAACCACCTGAAGAAGGCCGGAGCGTACAACGGCCGAAACGTTGTAATAAATATGGCGACAAAGATGAAGACAATAGTCCGAATAATGTAAATAGTGAAGTTTTTTTAATTGTTCAATTATGTGCGGGGCAGAGCTGGTGTATTGTGGAAACATGCTGTTACCTGCTTGTCAATAAAAGCCCTCAGTTACGACTACAGCATGAGTATAACAAAAAAAAAAGCAAATACGACAAAAATGAAGACAAGATGCGAATTTCAAAAGCAGTTAAATTCTAAAATAAACGTTTATGGTATTTGTTACTGAACGGAAGGAAAGATACAAAATTCTTTACGAGAGAGTGCAAGATTAGTCCAAAGCTACTCACTAGTACGACCGAGGACAAGTGAAGCAGAAAGACAAATGAAGTACAACTTAGATTAGCCATTAGCAACAGAAACATTCAGTGTTGAGAAAAAAGAAATAACCTAAAAATCCAGTGCTTCGAAATATAACGGCTCAGAATACAATTAGAGATGAAAGATTGTCTGAAAGATATCTGCTACTAGCTGACATGAATTAAATTAATTCCGACTAACAATTCGATATATTCGGAACACAGTAAGCATACCAAAGAATGGTTTGGGAGTTCTGAAAAAAATAGTCTCTGTTACTCAATTCCCAACAAGAACTAAACGATTCTTCCAGGGATAAAAAACAAGATTATCCAGTCTCTCTCTTACCTCTGTCCTTTTCTCAACTTCTCGTTCTGACTTCTCCGTTCATGTACCGTGTATCTTTAGGACGTGAACCATCATGGCTCTTCACAACTTCTACCTCTAAGCAATGTCTGGACCCTTTTTATCACTCCCAGTCCCCGTTTTGCCATGCATTTACAAAAGCTCGTTAGGTAAGTTATTCGATATTTCCCTCTCTCCATCTTGCCTTCAACATATCCTTTGAATGCCGATGTTTCCAAGTCCTCGTTCCTTGTTATCGTGATTCTTAAGGGTACCTCTGATGTGGAACAAGGCCGAAAGTATGAGGCACCCAGTGAGGATCGAACTCACTATTAAGTCATAATTGATCTAGCGAGACAACCTTGCTAACCATATCACGTCGAAGTGAACCACTTGTTCCTCGTTACGTGTCGTATAAATTTCAACTCTTTCTAAGTCTAAGTATCCTTTTCGTTCTCATTACTCATATTCCATTATCTCTTCTTCATCCGCGAGGAAATTGTCCAACATCCCCTTTTCTTTGTTTCTAATGAAATCTTCCTGTTTCTTAATACTTTGCTTAGCTTTCGGTGACATCTTTCGCTATCTCAATGCCCCTTAGTATTTCCATGTTAGATTTTCCGCTGTCTGCTATATCACTTCCCAGCTTGTTAAGTTTCCGTACTTGTTTGATTTTGACGTCTCCAATTCGTAATTTGCATCCTGGACTGCCCCTGTTGCTAACGACTAGACATTCAATTTTCTTCATTACAATTGATGGTTAGTCCTTTTTTCTTGCTTTTCTTTACAGTCTTGTCTAGGAATTACTGGAGTTTTTCTCTGTGTAAGATACACAAATTATACCATACTGGCGGCAGCGTCACTTATACTAGCATCTAAAGCATATGAAATTTGTTATTTCTGAGTTTAACGACGGGAATAAATGAGTGAAACCGCTGTGAAGAGGAAGCCCACTCTAATCTCGAAAACCGCAAATCTCATCCGCAACTGTTAACAATAGAGCCTCTGCTCTTCTCTTTAAGCAGGACGGAGAGAAAAGATGCACAGCAGAACGCCAATGTGATTATAAACATTAGCAAAAGCTTTAAAAAATGGCGGGAAGAATAACTCGTCTTGATCTAGTTTCACTTATTGCCGCCAAGTGGCGTACTGATTGCCTCGATCGGCCGCTTGTTTGCAGACGAAGCGGCAGCGTGACGGTGATTGTTTGACTCGAGCCACCAAATTTTGTGACTTCTGTCATCGCACATCCGTTGAATGTGTTCGATAAGTCTCATATCAGGGGAAATTCCACCCCACGTCACTCTCGCTATTCTCGTTCTTGGTTTTGTGATTACTCTCTCTCTCTCTCTCTTTCTCTTTTTCTTAAAATATGTCGGACAACCCATTCATATATTCTAGAAACGGATAGAAAAACAGACTCAAAATTTTCGTATCTAATGACCGATGCATACCACATAAAATTCAAATGTTGACAGGGTTTATTAATTAAGCAAATCTGCTGGACATTTTTGGCTTGGTTTGTTTCACGGCATATCAACACCTCAATGGGTTATTTAATGCCGACAAGATTTTTATTGTTGGTAATATTTAAAAAAAATGTATTGCTAGTAATAATGTATTGCTGATAATAATTTTTATTCAAAAGTTCATTGGTGGTAATAAAACCAATTTTTATACGTTTTGACCCGATTTTGGGGGTTAACTATTTAACCATAGGTGGGGCCCTAACAAGTGATACCACCGCGTGTCAGGGTGAACTTGGGAACACCAGCAATTAAGAGGTGGTTCCACGCTCAAAACCTCCTGATCAGAAGCCTTGCTATTGGATATAGTTTATCGCGGGATATTTTGGGGGACTTTATAGATGTCGTATAAATCTTATATAACAAAAGCAGGTTTTAAATCTTTGTCAGAACAGTGTTACTATTTACGAGCCAAACCAGTTGAAATTCCATTGTTGACAACGAAAATTATCTATTCTCATACTTGGGCTCTTCTGTTGCATTTTGCCTGTATCTTCTCATTTTCTTCCTTATCCCTGCGTCGCTTGTCCATATTTTTTATCTTAATGATAGACAAATATGAATCAGTTTCATATTCTAAAAAGTAATAAGGATGCATATTTTCAACTGCATTGAATCTTTTATCTTTCCTTTTCGGACTTGTGCCACATCGAAGGTACGCTTAGAAAATCCACACTCGTTTGTCTCTCTTTCGCTCCATAAACAATGTTAATGTATTGCACACACACACACACACACACACACACACACACACACACACACACACACACACACACACACACACTCACATAGATATAGATAGATATATAGATATATATGTATGTCTATTACTTACCTCTTGTTATAATGAACTTGCTGAAATGATGCGTTTCATCCACTCTTAATCATTTTCAATGAAAGTAGTTAGAAGTCGAAAGATAGAGTATTGGTAGGGCGTTTGTTCTGGTAATGGCGGGGATTCTAAAGTCAGTTCACATGCTATGCTGATGGACTAGAATACTGCGCCACGTGACTACTTCGTTATACTTAATAAAACATGTCGAATGAAGGAATGCTACCGAAATATCCTATTTTTATATACATGCATACATGTGTGTGTGTGAGTTGCTTCCCTCTGTCTAACTTCCTATATTTCATCGTAGACACCCTTTCCCCACTTCTCTTTATCCTAGAATTGCTCAATTCCTTCTCGTTGAATATAACTATGCATGTTTCTCGGTCAGAAAACGTAATTTATTCCAGGTCAGAAATCAGCAGGTACTACACACGAGGAAGATAAATGTAAACGCCGTGAATACGAACAAACGAATTTTAACGATGTTTTTCTTTCTTTCTTTCGCAGAGTACATTTCCATGTATATTGGGGAACTTACTGGCAACGTGTAAAGAGAAATGTTTGTACGGTTACGAAAGAGACGTCGAAGGAAATGAGTTCTGCAAGTGCCTAGATCCTTGCCAAGTAAGTAATATCTTTATATGCTAAATCTTAGATTAACTCGGGAAATCTCGGATGAAATATATTAAGGAAGCACATCAAAATTTATTACAAGCTGTTTATGTAACCTATGATATCAGTGGTTAGGATTTATTAAATAAATCCACCCAAACTTGCATTCACTCTAATGATTTCACACACACACACACACACACACACACACACACACACACACACACATATATATATATATATATATATATATATATATATATAATCACAAAGTGAATAATACTAAAAGCAGAGATAGAAATTCTTTGGAAATTATTTGAATACTAGCTATTTACGTAACGTGTGATATCAGAGGTTAGGATTTATTAAACAAATCTATCCAAAATTGCATTCACTATATATATATATATATATATATATATATATATATATATATATATATATATATATATATATATATATATATATGTGAGGCGCGTGGAGAACTGAGAGACCACCTTAAAGCAGAGGGCTTAAAAGACAGCTCTTCTCGAAACAATTATAATAATATCCTAACAAAAAAACTAAAACTCGCCACAGAAGAACTAAAAATCAATTCCAGTATTTTTATCAGACGAACCGACAAAAACAACACATCATCGATGACCGATCTAAAGACACCAAATTAAACGGAAAACCCACGGAGACTCTAAAAAGATATGTGAATAAACTGATAATATCTAATAACGCCGACGTTGATACTCTGAAAATCCAAAATATCATTGGAGACTACCAACCAGGACAGCTATACGGGAAAATAAATATACACAAACCGAATATCCACTATAATCAATCATTTCCCAGATACCAACCCCTAACTACGAGTTATCAAAATTCTTTAACGACATTATTACCCCATACCTACCCACCATTCACAGCCTCACCTCAACCTACGAATTCCTTCAAATTCTACAAAGTATAAAACTAACCCAAGGTATTTTAGCGTCACTCGATGTTGAAAATTATTCACAAACGTCCCCACTGATTAAACTATTGATATAATCCTTAACTTCGTGCACACAAATAATTCTATTCCACCCCCATTCATCAAACCAAATATCATCAAAAAAAATATTACATGCATGCGCAACCAAAGTCCCCTTCTACGATCATAATGGCAATATCTACATCCAAACTAACAGTGTTAGTATGGGAAATCCGTTTGACACGTGCTTCTCTAAATACTACATTTCTCACGTAGAAGACATGACATTTAAACAAATAATGAAACCCAAAACATATGTCCGCTACTTAGACGATATTTCTATTTTAGCAAAAAACAAATAAGAAACAGATAATCTCAAAACCACATTCGAAAAAAAACAAAATCTGTCCTAAACCTATGAACTGGGTCAGAAATAAACTCCCATTCTTAGATGTTCTCGTAGAATACAATACTTTCACCACCTAATTATATATAAAAAAAAAACACTATCAGAAACTCTTGCGACTTTAATTTCAAGAATTAAGGCCCACTTAGATATAAAATAGCAGTTATTAAAATAAATTCCTAACGAGAACACACGAGAATTCATCTCATCCTCTTCTTCCTTAAAGAACTTAATAATACAAATCAGACACTAGATAACAATGGTTTTCCTTACTACCTCATCGACTGCCTGATTAGATTATTTCTTTCCAAAGTAACTAATAAAGATACTGAACTCACACACAGAAACAATAACATTAACATCTTCAATAAAAGACAAATCAGTCGGTCAGTTATGTGCCATGCGTTATACACGCTTAAGCGATCATGTATCCTTCGATACATGACTGACTAGGAAGATTTTTCCCGCAGTGGGTTGCCATTTCTTTCTGCGGTAGACCAGTTGCCATCCAAGGCTGTAGAACCAGGTCTGTCCTGTTATTTACCCATAGCTGGCTGGAGAAGAGGAGGATTCATACCTTTTCTAAGTGTATTAGCACGTAAGTGAATGTAATGGATTCGACTGAAATTTGAACTCGGCTCTCCGATTCCTCAACCGCTATCCATTACTTCACCGTGCCTCCAAAGACAAATGCACAAAGAATATATATATATATATATATATATATATATATATATATATATATATATATATATATATATATATATATATATATATATATATATATATATATCTTTTTCTCGTTTCCTGTTAGATGACGTATTAAATAGGTCAATGTCTGGCCCTTATCCCCCTCTCTTACTCTTAAGTTTATTTTTTTAATAAAAATAGATTTAAAATTATTCCTATCTCTCCCTTTCTTATCTAATTTCGACTATATCTGTCTCCCCCCCTCTCTCTCTATCACCTTACACCAACTTACAACTACTCCTCAAAATGTTTACAAATAATACGTAAATTTAAAACCATCTTTTATGCTTGAATTGTGATCTGATGAACCAGGAAAAAACACCTTCCTCGAGAAATAAAATAGAATCAATGGACACTTAAGGTTGTTTGCTTTCTAATTAAATTAATATTTGCTCTGGTTTCACATTGAGCTCTCTGGATTACATCCTCCTTGGGATTGGATTACAAAACTTTTCATTACCTAACTCTCTCTTTCTCTCTCTCTCTCTCTCTCTCTCTCTCTCTATATATATATATATATATATATATATATATATATATATATATATAACATTGATATTTAATTCTAAATATATGAAGATATCTTTTGGTCAGATGAATGATATAACCTCAAAAGAGAAATAAAATACTGAAAAAAATGAATAAAGCTGACAGAACAATAACAAAAGAAATTGAAACATTGATAAGACAAAAGCAAGAAAATGCTTTAAGAATGTCACCAAAAGATATTTATGAAACAATTAAAAGTAATATATTTATATATACTTATATCTAGAGATAGATATATAAATAGATTTACATTGTAATAAAAAGCTAACCACAATGCTGAAAACTCCTTTCTTCTCTATCTCTCCATATATACACACACAGACACACCCACAGACACACACACACACACACACACATATATATATATATATATATATATATATATATATATATATATATATATATATGTGTGTGTGTGTGTGTGTGTGTGTGTGTGTGTGTGTGTGTGTGTGTGTGTGATTTTTGGTGGGGGATATATTTCATATGTCTAACGAAATCGTTTATTTTGTAAATAACTTGATCGCTGTATTCCTTTCGATTGGAAAAATCAAGTGCGGCCCACAAAAATGGTGTCTTCTCAGTTATTCTTGTTTCCATACTTCTGGAAAGAGACTTCTTGCATTTGGCATTGATTGAGTTTTCCTATCATTGGAAACTAGAGACTTTTACTGGAGATCAAGTGACAGCAAGTCTCCTTAACATTCCCACACTACAAAGTGTGTTCTATCTATTGATGATACTTTCAATTATTCAATGTAGTGTGGAATGTCAATATTTTCACTATGTAATTATTTTCTCTTTTAATCACAAGTAATATGCATTTTAATTGTTGCCTATGTTTCATTTCATTCGCTTGGAGACATTTTAATCATTGAACTGAGAAAGCAATTCTATACAGTTTACAATCTGGATATTTCTGAATGAATTTAGCGCCATGCATGACATCCATATGAAAGTCTCTATATGACGAGGCAAATTTAATAATATGACTCGAGTTAAGGAATAAATAGAACTATCGTTTCTTTTCTTTCTTTCTTTCTTTTTCGCTTTCAAATAATGCTTTCTTTTTTATCATAGTTATTTTCCCTTCATTTTTCATTTCTTTTGTTTACTTTTTATTAACATTTGTATTCTTTTCTTTTATTCGTTATTTCCTTTCCATCTCCTTTAATTTCCTTTTCCCCCTTTCTCACTTCTTTTTCCTTCTTTCTTTTCCCCCTTTCTATCGTCTTTAGTTCTTTCTTTTCCTCTTTTCTCCTCTTCTTTGTTTTCTTTCTTCCTGTCTTACCTTTTTTTTCTTCTTTCCTTTTCTTCTTTTCTGTTTATATTTTAATGTCGTCAATATTTTCTTCTCCTTTCTTTTAATTTTCTTTTTTAATTCTTTCTTTTCTCGTTCTTTATCTTTTCCCTTATCGCTCTTAATTATTATCTAATAAACTTAGTTAACTACAAGGTCAAGTGGGTGGGATACAGTGATTATGTTTCCACCTTGGGGAGAATGTCTGCTTGAATACCTTGAAAATCAGCACTCAAAATTATTTTACCTATGCTAAAACGGTGACTCCTGGCCTCAGTAAGAAACCCACAACTCTCTCGACAACGAAACAAGCCTGTTGCTTATTTATTGGGTTGCAACTAATTATGGGCCTAGATTGTATCAGTTCCTTGCTGGAGGCGGTGAGAAAAATACATGCAGTAGTGTGAGGCAAATTTGATTTTAATCTAAAATGAATCTGATTTGAGGTCAAAGTTTAAAAATTCATATCAAGGTTTTGGTTGCAAAAAATCATTCTAGAGATTTACTACAACAATTATATTTAGTTTCTAAGTAAATAAATAAACTGAATATTTTAATTCCTGACTGATGTTTAGAAACTTAATATCACTACCTGAGACACATTTAAACTGTAAAGACAATATAGCGTCAGAATAATTGCAAATTTACAGTTATATATTCTTAAATAAAATAGTTTACTACTTTCATTTTTATTTATGAAAAGTATATGCTTGTTAAATAAGTTATTTTAAAATTTGCAGAAAACTAATAACAAAAAAAAAACAAAAAACAGAAATGTGAGGTTGTTGCAGATCTAAGTGATGAAATTATATATTATAGTTATATTCAATATCACTTGAAAGACCCGTGAAGATTTCCCGATTTTCCTCTTTGAATTTTCGAGGAATCTTTATTCCTCAGTTAATGATTGAATAAGCCAATGATGAGTTCTAGGACAATAAATGTTCGTAGAACATTATTTACATTATTCGGACTATTGCCCTCATCTGCGTCGCCATATTTATTACAACGTTTAAGCTGTTAAACGGCTCCTTCTTCAGAATGTCGAACTGAACCCTCTATTTCGCTCACTGGTGTAGACCACGTGCCATGTTTAATGGATGTCAGTTATCAGTTATCTCCTGTTAATTTCCCTTTGAAAGTTCTCCACTGCTTTAACCGGGTATTGAACTCTCTGGGTATTATAAACCTAATGTCTTCAGCATCATGTTTTTACCAGTGCTCATATTGCAGTTTTTGCTGTTATATCTGTTTTTACCAGAGCTCATATTGCAATATATATATATATATATATATATATATATATATATATATATATATATATATATATATATATTTATATATATTGTTATTATCATTTCCCGTAGAACTTTAACAAAATATCGTAAAAATGAATGTTGGACGTTAGTTTAAGAAGTCGGTACAAATGAAGATTTGACATTGACATCTTTTTCTATTCCACTGAAACAGCCATTAAATACTTCTATTTTTCTTTTTTCTTTCTTTCTTTTTTCCATTTTCTCACTGAAACCAAGTAACGTATGTCTTTTTGCCTTTCTACATGAAAAAGACAAAAACGGAATAGTCCATTATTTATTAGGTACTGTCAGAAGACGTTAAGCACTTTTCTGTTCCCTTCTTCTTTATATCTTTCTTTCTAGCCAAATCCCCGTGTTACGAACATTTCTTTTAATAATAATTTAAAATAATTCAGCAATTATTTATGGTCATTAGATTTTTGGCGATTGCCTATCTCGATTTCCTTTTTTCTATACTGTACGTTTGAAAAATAGCACTTTTATTGCGGTTGTCATGGCTTCTCAGCCTTTTGGCTGGGAACAATGGATAGTATTTGCCCTCGGGACGATAAACTACATTCCATCTCTCGGTTGTGCCATTGTCTTCGGAAAAAGAGTAAACCAATCGTGTCTCTGTGGACAGCGCACAATTGAAAATATTATTGACAGGTGTCAGTTTCGGAAACTGCCGGCTGTGACAGTACCTCCCTCAATTCACTAAAGAGGGGTAAACGATAGTAATACCGATGCCAATGCAACTGACGGTTGTGAGGGCTGGGGTATTTTTTAACCTGACCCGAGTGCAGTAAATTGATCTTGTGTCACATCCTGCCAGAGTGGGGATGCAAGAAAATACATTAGCTTCTCGGCCTTTTGGTTCGGGAAGGTTTAATAAATAATTTAATTTTAAACCTCAGCCCCAGGGGGCTTTACTATCTTTCGGGAGCGGGCTGGGTTTATTGCCCGACTCTTGAGGCGTCCACAACAGGGGAAGTGCCCAGGGGGTTAGAGCAATTTTTTTTTCACGATAATGCCGTTAAACCCACTTTAAACCTTGACCTTGTGTCGCGTTCGATAGCGACGTGGGAGCGCTATAATATAAACGCTTCTCGGCATTTTGGCTAAGATCAAAGTGTAGTATCTGTTCTTCATTTTCTCTCTCTCTCTCCACTTCTACCTTCCCTTCTTTCATTTTCTTACTGAAACCAAATAAGGTATTCCCTCACTTTCCACACAATCAAAACGGTATAGTCCATTATTTATGAGGTTTTGGCAGGGCGTAACGGTTGTGTGAACTAACGAAGAGAGGGACAAGTACAATTATAATACAATTATTATATAATCGGCAGTTGGAGAATGTCTGATAGCCACCGGTATAAATGAACGGGAAGAAATTGACTTTTCATTTTATTTATATCTTAAAAATCCATCATCATGTTACATATGCAATGACGGAAAATGCTATTTTATTAATAAGGATGCCACATTTGAACTGGCTACAATACGTTCACCTTAGTGTGTAGTAGATATTAAAATAAAATTTGTCTAAGTTTTTTAGTAAATAGCGTATACTGCGATAAGGTAGAGACTAGTAAAGTAGCCCAGTGAAATCCATCCCACAGGGACACACACGTTCTCTTTTTGCTCAATTATAAATGTTTGAGTTAAGTCGATAGGTAGGATGGTCATTTTTGGAAACGGCTGTGTATGTTAATCCTGAGGAGCCGGTGGTGTTTGTAATGTTAGCAACAGTTGTCAAATGAACAGTCCTAGCTCCGTAGACAATGTTCCAGACGGTGATGTCCTATAGATGCTCGTCAAAATGGACGCATTGTGAAGGGAATAGTGACAAAACTAAATGGCACCCACAGATCGCTACAACTCCATCGAACATGTCTGCAATGGCAACGCGAGAGGGCCACATAGTGTTCGAGTGACGCTCTGTAGGTGTTCTGTATTGCGAGCAGGTCATGCCTTCATGCACCTGATAGCTTTTTCTATGTGAACCAGGAGCAAAATCTGCTAGAGTGTATTTGACTTCGATAAACAGACCCAGACCCACGACACTGGCATTATGTTGTGGAGTTCCATAAGTTACAATTTTCCCCCCTTTTGATGCATGCGGAGAGAATATTAAAGAACGCCGTTTACGTCAAGAACATTGTTCAACCAATTTTGATACTGTTACTGCAACCGAAAGTGCTCTTCCAGTAGAGTAATACTTGGTCACATGATGCCTGTGCTACTATAAAGATTTGCAAGACGTTTGACATGATGTGCATGTATGTGTGTACGCATATATATATATATATATGTTTGTTATAATCATTATCTATCCTACATAGCCTCATAATATGCACTTCCTACACCCCTCCTTGTTTGCCCTTACAGCAAAGCTCATTCAGCAAATTTCTACCTCAAACATTTCATCCGCCTTCTATCGAATAAGCAATAATAGAAAAAGATAAAAAGCGTGCTAAACACCAGAGATAGAACCTTTTAAATATAATGCGGACATAATAATGAACAATCTGTAGCGATTTTCAGTTTCACGCCTCTTGATCTGATGATTGGTTGACGGATGGAACTGACAATACACATGCAGTGTTGATTCTTATGACCATAATTACTTGCCATGGCTGCGTTCGTTTTAGAATAGGCATCAGTAAAATGCCTAAGTTAGATGTATATAATAATTTGCAGGAATTTCATAGCAGCCCGTCGAGGGAAAGACATTTCCATCCTCGCAGCGCTATAGATTCCATACAAAAATTTGCAACCATAAATAAAACCAACATTCTAACTGTTACTATACTAGCAATAATAATAATAATAATAATAATAATAATAATAATAATAATTGACATATTTAATAATCAGTGTTTAGTGTTAAACTACAATGCAATCTTTATCCTTTTCTTTCTAATAATACGCTTTACGCTTGACTGAGTGAGGTATGTGGTGTCTCTTTTTCGACTCCGACTAGTTAGGTCTTCTGTCCGTGAAAACGAACGAAATACAAGATATAGGCATGCAGGTAAACATTCCACAAAATCTTAAAGTCGGTCATCGTATTTTCTCTGTCCTACATACGGCGCTGGTGTAGCGCTTTGAAACAATTTTCTTATCGATAACACAAAGATGTTGACTTCGTTTAACACCAAACCCAATAGTCAAGAACCGGCTGAGCATTGAACTCACTAACAATATTATTATGATACTAGTTTCCTAAGTTATCCCGTCCTGGGTGAGACGATAAACTACATCCACGTCCAGGGTAAGACGATAAACTACGTCCAACAGCAAGGCCTCTAATCAGGTGGCTTTGAGGAGCGTGGAACCCCCACTTAATTGATGATGTTCCCAAGTCCGCCCTGACCCGCAGTGGTAGCACCTGTTAGGGTCCAAGCTATGGGCAAATAGTTAAGCCCTAAACTGAGACTACATTCTTGTTCTGGGCATGACGATAAACTACATCCGCATCCAGGGTAAGACAATAAACTAGGTCCAACAACAAGGCCTCTTTTCAGAACGCTTTGAGGAGCGTGGAACCACCTCTTAATTGTTGATGTTCGCAAGCCCGCCCTGACCCGAGGTGGTAGCACCTGTTAGGGTCCCAGCTATGGGCAAATAGTTAACCCTAAAACTGAGACTATATCTGCGTCCTGGGTATGACGATAAACTACATCCGCGTCCAGAAAAGACGATAAACCACGTCCAACAGAAAGACTTCTAATCAGGAGGCTTTGAGGAGCGTGGAACCTCCTCTGAATTGCTGGTGTTCGCAGGTCCAACCTGACCCGGGGTGGTAGCACCTGTTACGGTCCCAGCTATGGGCAAATAGTTAACCCCGAAACTGAGGTAAAAAAGCATTATAAAAGTGTAAAAATAGGTTTTAATTGCAGATATACTTTGTAAAAAATTATTACCAGAAATAAATTTAAAAAAAAAAATATCAGCAATACAATTCACCTGAAGAAGGCCGGAGCGTACATCGGCCGAAACGTTGTAATAAATATGGCGACAAAGATGAGGACAATAGTCTGAATAATGTAAATAATGTAAATAAATATTTGTTGTGTAAGATAAATGTTTTTTGCATTGTAATATGATGGACATATTGTTGTACCTTTTTACTTCTGTTTTGTATTTCTGAGATCAGGTGTTTTAAAAGGAAAAATTCTTTCGAACCAGCTTCGTTGTCTTGGTTATCTTTATCACAATGTTCCAGCCGATATGTTCTTCAACCTTCTGTCTGACTACATTTCGTAAATTTGGTGTTCATAGTATTATACATTGATTTACTGGAAAGTTTGTCTTCAACCGCAACCGGTTCATTGCAAACACCAATCGACATCGTACAGAAGAATTGACAGTTCGAGTTTCGTAATTATGGATAAATGACATTGGGCATTACAATGGAGGAACGAGAAAAATATACAGGAGTCGATCAAACAAAGAATTATATTCCAAATTTCTGGGAGGTAATTAAACCCGGCAGACACCTGAGACGATTCAGAATGTATAGGGTTGGAAACGTGATAAAAAAACAAATTCGATGAAACTGGTTCGAAAAAATCAAGTTATAGTATCTTATGTTAGAAATTTGAACAGTAAGGATTTAATGATATATGTATTTGATTTCTTTTCAGTATATCTATTGCAACAATAACACAGAATGTGTTGTCCAAAAGATAAATGGCCGACATCAAGGAGTTTGTGGTAAGTTTATAATTATTCATGACTCAAATTAGTGGATATTGAGCACTTTTAAGGCGTAAGATCTTAGCAAATATATTACTGTTTGTTTATTCTGGCGTATATGTATATATATATATATATATATATATATATATATATATATATATATATGGCTTGAAACAAAAGAAATACAATACATTTTATTGTAATACAAGCCTTATTTTTGCTTATCAGAGTCAATCCATCCTGTAACCATAACGATGGAATATCTCATTACTAAGACGAGCAATCAGGCTGTGTGATCTTTAACGATATAAAGTCACATTGTATTATAGAATAGACATTAAAATTCGATTGCTGAGAACATAATTCTAGTTTTGTGATTCTTAATAAAATACAAGCAAGAATTTGCAATATTATTAGTTTTGATCTGCCATTTCAGCTTCAGTCACTTTTCCCACCGCGCTAAAATAGCTTCCCTGTGCCTTTTCTATAAATATTTTTATGGCAATTATTCTGATGAACCTAAACTTTGGTACCTTGACATTATCAATTTAAGCGCAGTACTAGATTGATAGCAAGGTCTCATCATGTTACAATTGAAATTGTTATATGTAACTGTAAGTTCTATGCTATCAGTTTCTTCTCTCACACTTTTCGCGTTCGGAATTTGCTTCCGGCTTCTTGCGTCTTGATGACTTTATTGATTTGTTTATGGTGTGATGATTAAAAATGGCTCCTTAAATATGATATTTTCTTAATTGAATACAATCACCGGTTTAAATAAAAAGCAGTGGTTTTTACTACCAATGTGAAGACCCAGAATATATTACAATAGATTAAAAGTAAATCGGCAAAAAAATTTTATTTTGATAAATACTTAATACGTATTTTATACGAGAAAATATAGTAAATTGAATCGAATCGTCATATATACGCTGTTTGCTTTCACTAACATCAGGTCAGGCTTAGAAAATGTTCAAGTCTGAATTTCAGTCCATGCTTATTTCATGCTTAAAATATAATCTTGACGACAGAAATTTTAATTATTTTCACTAGAGAGAAACTGGGAGATAGCTACCCAAAATTAGGCTAGACTACATCTCGATACATGGTCATTCATACCTGATGACCAATATTTGTACAGCCTCACTCCAAGTAACACGCTCCCTTCGGCAATATCTAGTGGTTGAATCTTGGTTAAACACTGATTCCGATGCGTCTCTGAGGGAATTACTGAACACAGTATCACTCAGATTGAAAATGCCTTGAAGAATATCCCAACACAATGGCAGAATTAGTTTCTAACATTAGGTCAGTTTAGATCTCTTATAGGAGATTAGACATTATATCGAGTTTTAATACTATTCTTTGTTTCGAAATACATTTTTGATACCTTTTTATCCAGTTCAGTTTGTGAAAAGATATTTATTTATTTCTATGCACCTTTGGATTTCTGTGTCACATGGTCTTTTGCTAGAGATATTTGCACATGCTTAATTTATATGCCCAGACACGAATTTCACATTTTGGAGTTGTTCCTTTTGCTGAAAACCATGCATTAAGTCTCCTTACAGTTATTCCTTTCTTGTTTCTCTCCTCAGTTCAGAATTCCAATTCATAAATATTAAAAGGAAAATACAAGGTGAAACATGTTCATTTATATTTCTATTCAAAAAGTACTTTTGTTATGTTATCGCTTGATAATAGGTAAGTGCACCATTAAAAATGTATAATACATTTCTAAGTTCATAGGAAGAGTGATGCTCATGAATCCAGAGGTTCCCTGAAAGAATAATGTGAAATAAGTTATTTATATTTTCACTTCAGTTAGCCGAGGTGAGCTCAACTCCCACAAATATATTTTTTATCAGAAAGTAGGGTGAACTCGTGAAGGTACATTGCTAAAGTGTGATCGTACAGGACAATAGCTTCTCAATTTCGATGTTTAATATATTTGATTTACAAGGATTTAAAAATAAATATTTGAAAATGAACTAGTTTCTATTTTGATAGGCCCAAATTTAGACAGCAGCCAAAAGAAAAACATCATCCGAATTTCGTTGCACAACAGGAAAACAACAGCCGTTGATATCAGAAATGAGGCAAGCTAAACATATTCTTCGAAAATAGGGATGTCTACTCTATCCCTCAAAATAAATAGGAAAGCATATGCCAGTTTGACTAAGAATACAATGATCTATAGTAGTAAGCTTCATATTATAGATCCTTAAATATGTTAAATAGAAAATTAACATCGTTTCGTTTGATATATTGACTTCATGAATTTAAACGCAGTACTAGATTGATAGATCTTTTCATTTTACGGTTGAAATTTCTAAATGCAATCGTAAATTCTATTCTAATAGTTTCTTTTCTCGCACTTCTTGCCTACGGAACTGGTTTCCAGCTTCTTGCTTTCCTGTCAACTTGGATTTATAAAAATTTAAAAGCTACATCACTCGTCATATTCTGTCGCCTTGTTCTTGATATTTTCTTTTCTCCTCAGCGACCTTTCCTTGATTTTCTTCACTCAGTTTCTTTCAGTATAGCCCTTGCATCTTAGTGGCTTTATGGCCTTGTTTGGTGAGAAAAGTTTAAAAAGATATATGAGATAAGAGAGAATGGAAGACGAAAATTACTACATTATATTAACGATCAAACATGAAGGAAAGGGTGTTATCGTGTAGAGTTGTCCGAGAAGGTGCTAAAAATTCTCAGTTCCACCACAAGGTTCTGATATTTGGTATTTTAATTCAGTGGTTGAAAGTGTGTCGGACCGAAAACTTTTCAGCATCAAATCGTATGTCCGGAAATGGCGTCAATCTCTTGTATTACATTAAAGAACTTTAATCTCATCTAAAAAAGCTGGAAAATGCTACAAAATTGAAGGTTCTTTCTTCAATATAACATCAATCCGAAACACAAATGTAAACTAGCTAAAACACAGAATCTAAACAACATTCTGTACTGCAATTGCCGATTTAACTGCCGCTTCCCAATGCCACGGCAAAGTGCCAAAATTAACATTAACACAATACTCTCACAGAAGTGAATGGCCTCTCTAATAAGATAAGTGGTATTTGGTAGAAAACCTATTATATGCAGTCAAGAATCTAACTGCGTCAATGTTCTGTAGACGTGAGGATGTTTAAAATATTTCTTTTGCACTAAGAAGCATAAACGTTTGGTCTTTCTTTTAATTCTTCTTTCTCGTCCGGTTCACACTCCTCCTGGTCTTTTGAACAGGTGTAGAGGCCCAGCTTTTGTTTCCTGCTTAAGATTAAGTTTCCGCCTCCTTCTAAAGTCTTCTCATTCTATTTCATACCTTCCGTCTTGGAGGCGTCGTCGCCTCGCTTTTGGTGAATTTATTATATATACATACATACATACATATATATATATATATATATATATATATATATATATATATAGGTAAAAGAATCCATGGGTAAGTAATTCAAGTAGATCCTATCAATATAAAATATTAAAACTGATCCACAAAAGAGAGATCAATATAATTTTTATTATAGAGCATATAAGTGAATTATAACCAATGAAACCCAAACAAATTACCCATAGACATACATACATACACATATATATATATGTGTGTGTGTGTGTGTGTGTGTGCGTGTTATTTAATGAAAATGTCATATAACTGAAGTATCCTTATATTAGTTGAATGAGGTATTTTTTAAAAAAAAATAATTATTATGCCTAAATCCTTTAATTTAAATTAAAAAGGCCAATATATGCATTAATCTTTGTATAATTAATAGGATATAGAAATTAAAACTAAGTTCAATATTTAAACCAATGTACTCGTGTTCCTAGAATAAGTTTATATTTAACGTCTTTCTTTTTAGGATTGGGAACATTTTGTCTATTTTGGGATGTTCTTCTTTCAAAAACGTGACGTCAGCGACACACCCAGTTTAAAAAGAAAGTGCTATTTAAAGCAGTAATTTTAATTTGAATGTATACTTTGTTTTAATGTCAGCTTAGACACGTGGCCCCACCATAATATGGAATGTCAAGATAAACTACAAAGCACAATGGCGTTGAAAATAAAATGGCTTCATTCAAAATTTCTGTCATCTTTGGCGCAACTTTATAGAAATCTTAAAAGCAGACTTACCATATGTCTTTCCAAATAATTGATTTGATGGATCTTTCCTTATGACATAAGCCATCAATAATCGTTTGAAGCGTTCCAGATGATGAAAACAAAACAGTAAAAACAGAAAACTGTCTCGGGAATTATAGTATCAATATAACCATCATCATCAGTTCTATAACCGTTTGTGGTTGTTGAGTCTATGTGCAGATTAACACCTGAGCAGCTCCCCACATATGCCTCGGGTTCATGCTAATGTTTAACTCTCTGTGAAGGAATTATGGTAAGCCTATTTAAAGATGGATTTCAAGTTTACTTAATTGTTTATTACTTGTGCAGTCAGCCATCCGCCATTAGTCGCTCGTTGTTTTCAAGCCTTTGAAAAGTATACAACCCATGAAGTTGATCTCCATATGAAAAATTAACTTGCTCATCACAAGAAACTAATTAATGGACAAGATATTCACTGACGAAAAATCTTTAATAAACAAAATCGTTCTTTGATCTAGGAGAGATTTCTACATCTCAACCTGAATGTAATCTGTCAGGAAAAAGTTCTTTTGCATTTTGTTGACTTGACTCACTAACTAGCTCATCCGTCGGGACGCCTCTTCATAGAGAGTGTTGTTTGCACATATATTAAGGCGCTCCTCTATGTGTGCTCGCAGTTTCCATCCGACTCGGAATAATCGACTAGTATGAAGGATATTTATGACACCACTGCAGTTCAATGCCAAAAATCTGGTCTGTTAGATTTTGTCATTGACGACATCCAGCATCCTCCTGCTAATGTCTTCACCATAACACTGGTAGGGATGGCTTTCGGGTACTATGCCTTGCCAAAGGGCAACCCGTGATTTGGTCTGAGACTAAATCGTGTAAGTGAATGTTAAGAAATCGACTAGAATTTGAATTCGGCTCTCCAATATCTATTCATTACACCCACCGGCACATATTTGAATTGAAATAGAATTCTTTATTATGAATTATAGAATATGGACAAACTGTTACCACCTAATGTGAATGACGTATTGAAAAAAATACCTATTTCTAGGCAAGGAATTTAATCCCTGATTTCACTCCATGACAATGCCAGTATTCAAATTTCAAATGCTACACAATAAATGGTTTTAGATCTTGGATAAGAATTTTCTCCGGACGGTCAGTTTCAGACTATCAATTGTCTTGCGCCATGTGACACTCGTTGTTTGATTAGAAGTTCCTGCATTTGCAAAAATATCGAAAAGTTTACCAAATAATTAACTGAATGAAAATGGAATACTTCTTTTTATGATCACATGCACATTTAAATTGAAATATGTCTTAAAGTTATAGAAATAAAAAGAAAAAATAATAATCATTGAAAAACGACGTGATGACTTTACATGCACCAAAGACTTTTCCAAAATATTCAGGAGATTTTTGCTTAAACCTAATACAAATCAGTGTAGTTGAAATAAGTTGTTAACCTATAAGAAGGAACTTTACTGTGTATCCGTAACCAAACATATTTCTCTGGGTTATTTATTCAACAAACAGATGTCACTTATTCACTTTGTGACTGTCACATTTATAATGGCCGAGCGACTACTTTTTTCACATCTCATGAAGGGTTGGCTGGTAAAAAATCATATCAACGGAGTATGGTCAGCCACCCTACAGTTCAGCATTTTGTCTTTGCGATTTCTGGTGATCGCTCCTGAATATGAACAGATTTTTACACTGTGGAGAAGATTAAAGAGAGCGAAACTAAGTTGCTGATGGCTATCCTCAAAGGGGAATTTGCATAGTTTTGAAAAGTGGAAGGAGTATACGAGGTGTAAGGTTAAAAAAGGGGGACTTTTAAGAAAACTAACGTGCCAACTTTAATTAATATTAAACGAATGAACTGTAAAAATGTATCATCTGCACATAGAAATTAAACACACCGCTAGCTCTTCGTGTATAAAGTTTAAAATAAATCAATTAACAACGTTAATTTTATTGCAATCAGATACTCGCAAATTAAAAATAAGTTGGATTGGAGATTAAAAAAAATATAAGCCAACTCTATATAAGGCCAACAGATAGTAATAAAATGTTGCGATGCAGTATTTATTCGAAAGAAATTAAAATTTAGTAGTTACTAATAAAACCTCATTGAAATATAAACGTCTCTTTATATGGAAATGTTGTTTGCACATTCAATGTCCCTATTGTATAACGTATCTCTGAACATAGCAACATCATATACAGGAAATAAAACCATATTTTTTCTCTAGACTGAGTTGTAATAATTCCGAAGAAAGTCCTATACTTTAATATGATGCCGAAACGACCAGGCAGCTCTCCGTGAATAATAATAATATTCGACAAAACAAACTGTTAAATGATTACAAATTTTAAAAGTTTTTCACATTAAGTCGAAACAATCAATAATCAATTCAATTCATTTATGATTCTGGGATAGGCATTCTAAAATGGATTTAAATTCTCAAATTCAAATGATATTACACATATTTCAAACTTTAAATTCCATATTAGGGCAAAGAGTCAAACAACCAAGAAGCAAACCTTGAATTTCGTTTGATTTCCTTTATTCTTGGTAATCATCAAAGATAGTAAAAAAACTCCAATTTTGACAAGAGCGAAATTTATTTTCAAAATATATACATTATCAAAATCTGAAAATTAATAATTCAGCAGGCAAAGACTGATTAAAAAATATAACAGTCATAGCTTGTCTATTAGCTTCAACAAACTTGTTTATAAGTGAACACCTACTGCCAAAACATACCCTACACACATACCACACACACACACACACACACACACACACACATATATATATATATATATATATATATATATATATTTTGAGAGAGATAGAGACAAACACAGAGGGATAAAATCAACAGCGGCCATAACCACTTCAGGAATAAAGCCTTTCCTAACTTTACATAACGATCGTGACTACGCTTTTCACTTCTTTGTCTTGCCAGCAAATCTCTCTCTTTTACCTCCTCTATCTTTTGTCTTTTCATACTCGGTTTGTTATTTACTGTGCACCAATAAACAAACTTTATCCTTTCTTCTTGCCGTGTGTCCAATCGCCTCCATTTTTATCGCTTTACCACTTTGATATATCTATTGATCTCTGATTCATTTTACGTTTAGTTTCAAGTGATTTTCTTTATTTCCATGTTTCGCGCACACGTACGCCATAACTGGCATATATTCATTATACATCATTTGAACGATTTTTGTTATGGTTTGTGTTTATTGTAGACAGGATATCCAAATTAATTCATGGTCCAACTAAGACGATGACGGACACTGAGAAGAAAGCGAAAGGCAAGAAAGTATGCTATCAGATGTTACCCTTGGAGGCCATCAAGTGTACAGATAATCGGACCAAACGATGGTACTTCGATTCGAACCTGAAACAATGTAAACATTTCCGAGGCTGCCAAACACCGGGTAACAACTTCTCTCGGAAACGCCACTGTAAAAAACAATGTCTGGGAAGAAAGAGACGAAGTGAGTAATTTTATATTGTTCTGAAAGATTCGCGTTTATATATGAACAAAATTAGATCAGTAAAAATCTGCATGAATAGTTAAATGTCATGAAATGAAATTTGAAATAATTAATCGCAAAAAGAAAAAAGAAAATAATGAAGTGTCGAATAATTATATATATATATATCTTCAGGCCTGACGATTGCATATCGCATGAAACAGACTGTTGCCTCTAAGTGTTGACTTCTATGATCACTTTTATATTTACACACGCTCTATCTCTGATATTGAGCACTTTATTCCATAAATATAGCACATCTTATGCCCTGTTTTTGAGTAGCGATAATATAAATGTATTGATAGGGATTTTACAACTGGAACGTGTTGCAAATGATATTTACATAGAAATTTGCTATATATAATTTTTCCTATTATTATTTTTTTTATTATAAAAGATTATGATAAAACATATTGAAATCGCTACACAAAAGCTTTGTATTGAGCACTTTTTAAAAGTAAATGCTCCGAACAGTGGAATTTTACTCCATCTGTTCTTTCTCACATATGGGTTTATAATTTTTCTATAAAAATATATTGCTATCGGAAGGACAGTGTTCAGAAATTAATACATACTTTTTGATAAAATAGATCTCAGTGCAAGATTAAGTTATTACTGCCAACCGTCCCTATAATTAAAAATTAAAGTTAAAATTAATACTGAATTTTTCATAAACCTGTATTTAATATCAGATTTTTACTTTTATAATTAATAGCGGATAGTTTAATAAATACACGTTATATTCTTCTAAATAGACAACCATTTATTTTTCTTTCTTTTTTTTTTTGTAACTAATTTATTTTTGTGTATTTCAGGATACAGCAAACGCCGAAACTCTAGGCGTCGGTGGCTGCGAAGGAAGAGATTGAACAAAAGGCCGTTGGCAAAATGGTTCATCCCGAGACAACACACGATTTCAGAGAGTCATTCTGTTAGTCAACGATAGGGAGTTCTCGTCACGTCTGTTTTAAGAACAATTGCAAAACGAAAATCTACACCGGGAAGGGTGGGTAGAAAGAAAAGAAGCGTTATCTTCCGATAACGATGGGAGATTGGCAAATTAAAAACAAAACAATTTTGTAACGAACGAAAAGAAGAGTGTCTATCCTAAGAAAAATGCATGAAACACAAGTTGAAAGCATATGTACATATTTACATAATTTTAAAAAAAAAAAAAAACGGACGCGGTGATTGCAACAGAAAAAGAAAAAAAGAGACGGATAATTGACGGAATGAGGGGTAAAAGTAAGAAGGAAAGGAAAAGAAAAAAACTTTTTTAAAAGAATTTAAGACTTAAACAGATGCAGGGAAGAAAAAGGAAGAAAAAAATGACGAGGAAAAAAAAACATTACAAGCGGGCTTTCTATCCTATGAGCATGCGCAACTGACTTTCTTCAGTGATTCATCTCAGTACTTCCTTGACTTCTCACTTCCTCACGCTTTTATAGCGCCAGGTCCACTCTTTCTTTCTTCGTTGTTCTCTCTATCACAGTTTGTTGATTTTTTCTATTTGTGAAGCTATCACTTTCTGTATTTTTTTACAAAAACAAACACAGTTATTGTGAATATTTACGAAGCTTAAATTAAGCACGCACAAAGCGAAATTCATGATGCAAGAAATGGAGATAAAAAAAAAAGAATTGTATTACGTAAATCTTCCACGTGGGGGAGGGTTTACTTGCCTCGAAAATTAGTCTTCGAAATCCAGGCTTTTGACCTGGGCTCGAACACTGATCTCTGGCACCGGTGCACAATAGCGGAGACCGGGGAAAGTTGGGACATTTCCCTTAGTTGGCGCTGTAACTTCTTTATAAATCAATTCGTTAAAACATAAATATAATCAAAAGTTACAACGAAAAAAAAAAGACTTCGTTTGGATTGAAAGTTTAAATCTGAATTATTAGTTTCGCTTCTCATTTAAACATTCGGAAAGAAAATGTAGGAGCCTAATCCGTCAGTGGAATAGGTTGGTACAATCTTAAGGGGCAATTGTTTCATTTGCTAGTAGTTAAAGATGGGATAAATAGATTGCAATAACTAAGCAATACAAAATTTTAAACTAGTACTTATCAAGTAGGCGAGCTTGCCCACTGGAGATGATGTTTACTTGGTTGTTTATACTATTGGCTTCTGGCATGATATCTGTGAACATGTGCCTAGGTTGGCTGACTGAGTTTCTGACCTGATTGTGAATGAGTGCCTACTCAGTGATACTTCACAATAGAACTCATGTTATTCAGGCATGCATATAAATAAATTTTGATGAAAGCAATCAACCGTGACCGAGGGGTTTCAATCAACAACTTTTTGCCAATCTGAAGGGCGAGAACCCTTATTTTTTTTGGTAATAAACCAAAATATATTTTTGATACCGTAAGGATATATTTTTTTCTACTTCATCTTTTTGTTATCAGTTAAAAAAATGACTCATTTCAGTGTAATCAACAGTTAAATTCCTTCTCTATTTCTTCTTGAAATAAATCGTATCTTCTCAGTCTGTTGAAAGCTAACTTAGCATCTTTATCTACTACTGATTTGCGGCTTCTCTTTTCACATAAGACGTGATCCGCTGCCCTTAATTCATCATCACGAATATGTAGACCATATGAAGTTTTCTTTTTATAGGTTCGAACCATCTTTAAAAGACTGGTAAAAGAATATGAGGGTACCCGTTGCTTACTGATACAAATTCTAAGACGGCGTTGTTAAATATATACCTTACCTTTGTATGATCTAACCTGGAATGAAGGTAAATTATCTAGATGCCAATTATAATCAACATTTGTATTTTTCTGGATACAAATTGCTTCCAATATGGTTTTGAAATTGTGTGTAAATTTCCTAAAAGTAGTGGTTAAGTGCTGAATTGTGAATTAAAAGATATAAAGTGGATTTCACTGTTAATATTTGAGTTATAAAGCCATTTTATTAATATAAATGCAAATAACCTGGCTGAGACATGGTGTGCTTTCTTGAAATGTCGTCAATAACAATAATTGAACTAGTATTGAAGCTATGATTCTTTAAATGTCCAAAATCTTTCACTCATGTTAGAAGCCAACTTATGCCTAAAATCAGTGAAATTTGATTAATCTGCATAAATCAATAAAATTTGTTGATCATTATCAATAATTATATTTATTTTATATCAATAAAAATATCAAGGTGGCTTTTTTGAAAATGCGAAAAATTCTAGTCAATGAACTCAAGGTAAAATCTACTGAACCCACACTCTAATCCCCAATATTTATATTTTATTTGTGAATATTATGTTCTTACACTATTCCTATTATTTTTACTAGGGGGATTTCTTACAATCATTGGGATCAGTGGATACAGCGTAGCAATTAGCCCATTTCCAATGTACCAATCAAGCTTTGTTTATATCGCATTCTAAGCTAAAATTTTAACAGAAGCTGTTAAACAGCGATAAATATATTGTTTATTGTTAGTTCGTATAAACAGAAACTACACTATCATCAACGGCATATTGCAATATGAACAAGGCACATATGTTTGTCAATGTGAAAAGTCACCATCGAAAAGAAAAGAAAACTTTACATCCTTACAATACATGTGATTTAAAGACAGAATTAAAAATGACGCGAAAATTCTACCCAAAATGAGGTTAACAGTTGCACTATCAAACAAAAATGAAATCATGTAATTCAACGTGCCCCATACACCAACCAGTCCCGGTCTCCCCTATGCAGTTATTGCAGTTGTCTTAGCCCAGCATCGTACGATACACGGCTAGATAGCGAACACGTAGAATGCTTGTACTGCGCCACTCTTCTACGTGGGGGGAAGGTTTCTTTACCTTGGAAATTAACTTACCTAATCCTGATTTTTAAGTTGGTCGCAATCACTGGTGGAAAGTAAATAACTATCTCCAATATGAGGTGAGCTAATGTCATTTTAAATTCTCTGATTCTTGTCTGTAATTAAAAAGGAAAAGGTAGATAAAAAATTATTTTTCTTTGACTTATCTTACATATGTACGCACATGCATGAATGTTGATATGTATATATCTATTCACACAGACGCATATATGTATAAAAATTTCATCTTACATACAGTCACACTCATATAGATACACACCCACATACACACGCATATATATATATATATATATATATATATATATATATATATATATATATATATATATATATAAAGATTGTACTTTTAATAACCCATCAATACAAATATATTTTAAACGCATGCGCATGACTATTTACTAAACACAGTTTTATTTTGTCACAATGTCACAAGTATTGGATTTCTAAGCATAGGATACCGATGCTGGATCAAACGCATTTACTCGATAGAATGATCTGGTGGATTAAGTTACTAACCATTATTCCCAAACAAAGGACCTAAAGGTTTAATCAGTTTTCTATTCCTTCCTTCCTTCCTTCCTTCCTTCCTTCCTTCCTTCCTTCCTTTCTTCCTGTATTTTCTTCTTCTTCTTAATCACTCATCGAATGTTAACACCAGTTATCAATGGTATCTTACACTGGAACTTAAGTGATAGTATGTCTCTTTAATACTCCATACTGGATTTATTTCAAATCCTCCTCTAATTTCTAGTTCCTCTACAATTTTCCCAGGCTCTTCGGGACCGTTCCGTGTACTCTATGTCACCTTTTGGAACAATGAAATCCATTCTCTGCTACGTTTTCTTCTTGCTTATTATTATCAGATCCGTTTTTTTTAGCCTGGATTGGGTGACCCATTTCTATATCAAAGATTCATCACTCGGTCTGTATAGTTAAAATAAAGTGGCTTGTGCACCGAGCAGTGGTCCCCCCCACACTATCTAGTTATGCATATTCATGTATTTTTTCTGGTTTAATTGGCTAAAGTCGCTGATTATGTTTTTCACTGTGTCATCTTTATATCTATACAGTCTACATTTTCTATTTTTCCTCTTTTTATCTATCCCGGCTGTTATATATCTGATTTTAATGGCATTAAGGCCACTATTAAGAACCAGTTGGTATCACTTTTAAGATCTCCTTTATATCGTCACGTCCATGTAGATTTGTCTGAAACCGCTGTCATTTATATTCTAGAAACATTTACGTTTCTCGATTTAGTCGGCTCTTCATATAAACTTTTAAGGTAAAGTATGTGTAAATATATGTATATGTTAAAAATTAGTTTCATGTTTTTTTCATTTATAGCAAGAGAATAAGGCACAGAATAATTTTTTTATCTTTATTCAATTTTTAATTTAGCTTAATATTCAGGGAATATTGATAATTAGCAAGAAAATACGCAGTAAAATGAAATCTTTGATTTCTTTTTTATTAGTAGAATGCAAGCTTATTAAAAAGGTGACATAACAAACTAGTTAGCGTGTAAAACATGAAGCAACATTACAATGTTTTTGATTTAATATAGAGTCTCTAATGTGGATGAAGAAATGTGTTACACATGCACGAACACACACGTACAGACACACACACGCGCATTCACCGTCACAAATATATCTAAGGATGCACATTGCGTTTTAATGCGAACTGATTACCAAAATATACAAACAGGAAGCAAATTTTTGATGTTTTATTTAATATAAAGGCACGAATCTAATTCAGGGTGAAGAAATGTGTTAATATATGCAACGAACACACTTTGAGGGTTTTTATATTATTAGCATGAATGCCATTGAGAAAGACATGGTCTCCCCTCGTCTCCTATCTCTCTCTCCCGCTCATTATGTGTGTCATTAATCCCTGTTAAAGCCATGCTTAGTTTCCAAACCGGTGAGAGCCTCCCGATCCGCTAAAAATATTTCCTAATGATGCAAGGGGAAATTGCGATTTTTTTCAGTATTTCACGAATTAATTTAGCTGATGCTACCAAAATAGCACTGTCGTGGTGACGAGTTTTTAGACCAGGAAGAAACAAGCACACACACACAGACACACACACAGACACACAGACACATACTGATATTTTATATATATATATATATAAGTATATAATTGGTATATACGGAATGAATTCCAATAACCAACAATTACTATTCTAAAAAGAGTGCTCAATACAAAGTAGAGCAGATATAATTATTTTTATAAAAAAAAATTATAACATAAGTATGCACACTAAAAAATCTACTTTGTTTCCCTAAATTCAAAAGTGGTTAACGATCCTAATGCTTGTTCAATATAGAATAACCAATCAAAACGAAGTATAGAAAACGAAATCATGATAATAGCTATTCAGACTTTAAATACGTTTTTAAAAAAATAATTTATTAACCAATAATTATGCCATTTTAAATCCAAATTTAATCATGGTTATTGAGAAAAGAAAATATATATGTTTATTCAATTCATTTCTTCATTGAAATTACATTCGACAAGACGCTGCAATATATCTCATTTGACTCTTATTCTAGCTTTTGTAACAATGTTTCAGTGTAGGATCGTTAATTAATCTGAAACTTTTAAAACATTTTTTTCAACATCATCACTTGATAAGACACAGATTGTTTGAAACAAAAA